GCCATGAATGCCTAAGTGTATGTATTATTGTTATTTATTTCCTTCACTTATTTTGTGAATATTCTATGTATGAATGCAATAGTTGATAACAAAGAAAATTAATAAACTACATGTCCAACTTAATGTTACAAAAGTAGCATCAGAATGAATACAAAGAGAATAGAGGATGAATCTAAACATTACAAGAACGGAAATAAGCAAAATAGATAACAAAGAAACACTTTGGAGTCAATAAAACAAATTCCAGATACATCTCTTACAGTACAGATTTTACAAAAGATAGAAAGTATAAAAGTGAGAAGATAAAAACAGTACTAGCATTTCTATCTCATACTATGATTATTTGAATAATTTGGTGGTATTAAAATAGAACATTAGGGGGAAAAGGACAACTTTCTGGGAAAAAATATCAAAATTGACTCAAGAAGAAATGTTTTTTTAAAAATGGATCGAATTATTATATTAAATAATTGATTCAGTTGTCAAATAGCTTTCCTAAGAAAATAAAGATGGTTTTAGTAGCAAGTTTTGCCAGTTTTTCAAATTATAGCAGCATTTATTTCATGCAAACCATTGCAGAGAAGTGACAAAAAAGAAATTTCTCAACTTGCTTTATGAAACTGATTTATTATTGATGCCTAAATTGCTCAAATACACAGTAATCAAAGGCCATTGGAACATAGATACAAAAATCTTATATAATTCACAAACATATAAGAAAATCAAGGTCAAGAGAGTTTCTGTAACTTGATCAAGTCTCCATAGCTAATGGTGAGGTGGCCCAACATCTAAAGCCAATGCCTGTGTTCTTTGGAAGAAGGACGAAAGCAGAACCAATAGCAACACTTCCAGATGAGATAGTGTTTAAATTTAGTGTCATTATTGCTGGTTTCCTTATAATCGGTCCCTCAGCGGCCAAGTGACAGGGAAACTTTGAACTTAGCATACACCCTGGATACCTCAACACAAGTCCTGCCCTGCTTCACTGACTACCACCTGTTCTGCCTGGCAAGGCATTTTTTAATTCTCATAAATTGTGAGATAAGTATTATTACTTTCATTTTAAGGATGAGGTGAACAAGTCTCGGGGAGTCAAGGAGCACCGATAAGAAACAAGCTTTCAGAGGTAGTAAGAGGTAGAGCTGAGGTAATTCAGGCCCATTTCACTCCAACACTTGTTCATGTGGCTTGTAAGGGCCTCTGTTCCTGAGCAATAGTCCAGAGCACCCCTATGTATGCGAGCCTAAAACATCTGGATTATACCCCAGAGCGGACAGGTGTTCTCACCAGCTTCAACCCTTCATGTTATCTCTCTAGTGTAATGCTAGAAATATGACCCAGGTCTAATCTCCTGATTAGTCCCATATCTAGCTCTTGTAAGTCTTTTTCTGGCCCTGAATCCCATTACTGGAAGAAGGACCCACAGTTTCCTAGACCAGTGGTCAGCAAACTGCGCTCATGAGCCACATGCAGCTCTTTGGCCCCTTGAGTGTGACTCTTCCACAAAATACCACATGTACAGTGCAATTGAAACTTCATGGCCCATACTCAGAAGTCGGTTTTAGGCTTTCAAAAGAAATTTCAATGGTTGTACTGTTGATATTTGGCTCTGTTGACTAATGAATTTGCCTACCACTGACCTAGACAAACCAACCCTTACTTAGAATGGAAAATCCTGGAAGCATGCCAATAGACCAGACTCCTGAACAGGATCATAAACCCAGATAGAAAAAAACAGGGTTCTAGAATTCTTTTTAGGCTTGGTGAATTGTATTTCTCATTCTGCTTGAGTTTCTATAACTCCTGCCTGCTAGAAGATTCCATCATGACCTGCAACAACAATCTAAAACATAGTATCTCACCTCCCTTACCACTATCCTATCTAATAAAGAGGGGACGTGCTAATTGACCATCAAGCCCTCATAAAAATGGCGGTGCTCACAGCCAATGAGGTGGGAATATGCTAATTGACTGCTGCACACTCAAAGATGGCAGTGCCCGTAGACACAAAATGGCGCTGCCCAGTCCCCTCAGCCAGAGTCCACTAGTCCTTTCAGCTCCACCAGGGGGGTGGCAGGCATGCAGTGTGGCCAGATCCACCTTCAGTCCCTCAGCCACCAGGACCGCCTAAGGCTCAGGTAACCAGGACTGGCTGAGGCTTGCACACCGGCAGTAGCAGCAGCAGAGGTGTGATGGGTACATTGCCTTCCCCTGATCATCTGATCACCTTCCACCCTTGAGGGCTCCCAGACTGTGAGAGGGGGCAGACTTGGCTGAGGAATTCCCCCCTTCAGTGCATGAATTTTCAAGCACTGGGCCTCTAGTGTGTGTGTGTATGTGTGTGTGTGTGTGTGTGTGTGTGTGTGTGTGTGTGTGTGTGTGTAATTTTATTGTTCAATTATAGTTTGCATTGACTGTTATCTTGTATTAGTTTCCAGTGTACAACATAGTGGTTAGAAAATCATATACTTCATAAAATGCTTCCCCCAATAGTTCCAATACCCACTTGCATCACACATAATAGTTATAACAATATTACTGACTATATTCCCTAGCTGTACTTTACATCCCGGTGACTATTTTGTAACTACCAATCTGTACTTGTCAATTACATCACCCTTTTCACTCAGTTTCCCAACCTTGACACTTCCAGCAACCACCAGTCTGTTCTCTGCCAGTTCCCTTCCTCCTATATTAAAGCCCCATGATGGCAGGGATTTCAGCTGAGTTGTTGACCGTCTTATTTCCAGAACCTGAAACAATGCTTGACACATAGTTGTCAATTAATATTTCTTTAATTTTGAATGGCTCTACTTTGATTGTCCCCCTGTTGAGTTCACACTGAGGAAACACGCTTTGAGCAAGGGCAAAGCTAGGTAGTCTAGTATGAGACAGACTATTGTTCCTGTATATAGATACTAGATTGCTATCTCTTTTTTGCATTGTTAAGCCAAATGGAAATGTTCAGAGACCTTACTCCATGTGCCCTGATCAGGAATCAAACTGTGACCTCCACTCTACCACTGTACCACACTGGCTGAGCTCTTCTTAGGTTCTTATAGCAATGAGTATTTGTACTTCACACCAATTACCATATTTTAAAATATAAAAAAAGGAATAGTGTAGGAATCTACACTAATAAAAGTGTAAGGTGCAAAATGACCATACCTTTGCGATGTCTACCAGCCAATCAGGAGTGAGTATGAAAATTGACCCAACAAAGATGGAGGGCTATTTTGTATATGCAGGCGCCAAGCTGCCGAGGGGGGGGCAAGGGGGGGCGTGACTCTTGTGTCATTGCCGTGGTGAAGACACAGGCATTCTGCACTGCCGCAGCCGCTCCGGGGCTTCTGGGCAGCGTGGGAAGGCAGAAAGGCAGCTCTGGGCCGGAGCAAAAAGGTGGCTGGGCCTGAGCAGAGGCAGCCAGGGAAATGAAGGTCCATTCTTACATGAATATTCATATATTGGGCCTCTAGTATATCAATAAAAATCCTTGACCTTGATTATTTCCTCAAAAGCAAAAGACTAGACACTCAGCAAGCAAGTATGGGTCTTTATCATACAGAGGATGTTTACATTCTCTTACATCCAAATTATATTCAAAATATTAGATGGTTTCCTAGGACCCTGGGAAAGCAGCCAAAGTATTTCAATTCCCTGGCACATTAGAAAATGTTTGAACTTGCCATTACACTCAGATATTCAAACAAACATGTATTGTTTTGCTGATGTATGTTGAGATTGGGGAGTTTGCTGATAAGACCTAGGAAATGTGAGCTTTTGAAAGATGACAATGACAAGAAGAGAATGAAAAAAATATAAATAATAACATTTACAGTAAATATCAAGGGTATAGAAATTCATAACAAGTAATGTTTTTGCAAAAAAAAAATTCTATCAGAATGACAAAAATCACTAACATTGAGAGGGGTAGAGTATATTAATTTCCATCTGAAAAGGACACAGATACATTGTCTTGAAGGAAAGCCTCAGAGGTGTCTGTGCAGGATGGAGCTACATTTCACAACATCCACTGCACGTGAGAATCACCTGAGAGTTTTCAAAACTATGCAGGCTACACTTGAAGCCAATTAAAGCAGAATCATTGGGAATGAGACCTACACAGAGGTGGCATGTTTTAAAGCTCCCCACAGTGAGTCTGAGGAGCCAAATTAAGAATCCCTGACCTAGATATTTGCAGATTACTTGTATCTTCTTTCATTCAGCAAGAATTAAAAAGCTTCTCCCTCATGCCAGACAGTGTATAAGCAACACAAATGAAAATATTTAACAACAAACAAAGTATTATGTTACCCTCAGGGATATCAGTCTAAAACTAAAGGATTATGCAAGTTGATTATAAAAATAATAAAATTAAGTGTAATAAGAAAATTAATAAAGAGAGCCACATGTATTTATTGTTTACCATATTTTAGGCTATTCTGGATGTTAAACATAGATCCACTCCATTAATCCTCTTATTGTCACCTCACAATACAGATGAAAGAATTCAGGTTTATAGCAGTTACATAACTTGCCAGATACAACAACGGTAATTTAATGGAAGATCTGGGACTCACCCCAAATAGCCCCCACTCTTAAGTATACTATCTTATGGAGGTAGTAATGAAATGCTTTTTTAAATAAGGAAACTAATAGCTCAGCCAGAAGGTGTTTTGGAAAGCCTCATAAATTAGGCAAAATTTGAGCTATGTAAAATTTTAACAGGATTGTTTCTTTAGAGGGAGAATAAAAGGTAAATTGTGTTAGGATGGAATCACATTTCTAAAGATGGGACATTTTATGCATAGTTGAGCAACAATGGATAATTTGTAGGACAGTGAAGCTGAGGCCTAAGGGAAATTTGTTTTAGGGTCAGACTCTTCCCATCTCCCAGTTATTCCTGGAGTACTGGAACAAACACTGCAAATGACTGCATCAAACAGGATGGTTTTCCCACCAGACTTTGATGGATACATAGCAATGGACTTTGCACCTACCAGTTCCTCATTGTTTAGTGATGTCCTAATCACCATAGCCAGGGAGAGTCCAGATTTCCGGGCAGCCAATGTCTAAAACAGACAGAATTATGAATTATTGGTACATGAGGTGACTGCCCAGAAGAATGTAAAAATGTAAGAATATAGACTACTGTTCATGTTTTGGTAAATAAGGACCTGCCATTTTCAGTAGCCAGATAATTCATCTAGAATGAGGAATCATAGAACATTAAAGCTGAAAGAGTCCCCTTAGATTGTCAAACCCAACCTCTATTTTATAGATGAGAACACTGAGGTCGATTAAGACAGGGTAATCAGCTATGGCTTACAGGCTAGAAGAGGCTTTTAGAATTTTTCTTCCCAAGGTGGTCATGAGCACATCCTAATAAAGAGGGAATATGCTAATTGACCACCACACCCCCACAAAGATAGCAGTGCCCACAGCCAATAAGGAGGAAATATGCTAATTGACTCCCACAACCACAAGATGGCGACACCTAGACCCCTCAGCCCTGCAGGGACAGCAGGCACACAGCACAGCTAGGCCCGCCCCCAGGTGTGTCTGGCCACTCCACACGCCTGCCTCCAGAGTCCCCCAGTTCCCTCAGTCTCCCAGCAGCCCAAGGCCAGCCCAAGGCACAGGCAAACTTCTGATGGTGGCTGCCCAGCCACCCAAGGCCATCCAAAGCTCAGATAAACAGGGTCGGCCAAGGCTTGCACTTCTGGCAGTGGTGGCAGCAGAGGTGTGATGGGGGTGTTACCTTTCCCTGATAGGTTGGGTCACGTCCTACAGAGGGAGGCCAGAGGCAGCAGTAGCAAGGGTATGATTGGGGTGGTGCCTTCCCCTGATCGGCTGGTCGCTTCCCACAGAGGGAGGCCAGAGGCCAGAGTCCTCTGGGGAGCAGGACTAAGCCATCAGTAGGACATTCCCTGAGGACTCCTGAACTGTGAGAGAGGGCAGGCCAGAATAAGGGAGTCCTCCCCACAAGTGCATAAATTTTCATGCACCAGGCCTCTAGTATACAGATACAAAACTCATCAGTACTATAGGAAACTTTGGAAATCAGAAGTTCTATATGGGAATATTAGATCTGCTCTCCCATTAGAAGCTACAGGAAATCATAGTAGAGTAATGCATCTGGTAATAAATACATCTCTTTGTAGTTACAGAGCCAGGCATCCAGATCAAATTCAGCACAATCCTAAGTGAGGGAAGAGTCACTCTCCTCCCATCTCCACCACTACTTTGTAAACCAATTAAGGCCTACATCCAAGGGTTTATCAAAGATTATCATCCATCTCAGACACCTACTGTCCCTAAAGTAATTCTTTACCCTATTTTAGTCTGTACCTGTTTACATAAGTTGGTTTGTCTTTCACAATTGAACTAGATGTTAAATTCTTGGAGAGCCCAAACATATTATTTTTGTATGTCTCTCTTTATTTTCCTAACTTTCCCACTTTTATTCCATGAATAAGTGTTTTGTACGTTTGAGAAAACTGGCAAATAGTAATTAAATAAATAAATAATCACTTACCATAGCCTGAAGATTTCATGTGTCAGAGAAAACAAAGTATACATAATTAGATGTAAGAAAGGTGAGAAAAGAGTATAATGATGTTAAATAAACCTAACACTTTAAAATAACATCCACACTACAATGGCAGGATTCTGAGCTAATAGGACAGACATACATAGCATGCTTTTCAGAAAAAGATCTTTCCAGGCAGGATTGTATCTTTCTACTTTAAAACTAAAGTGATGGCTTTCAGATGAAGGTTTTCATAGCAAAATTAAAATTATTGATATCACCATGACTGGCATGGCTCAGTTGGTTGAACATCATCCTGTACATTGAAAGGTCATGGGTTCATACCCAGGTTGTGGGTTTGATCCCCTGTTGGAGCACATGTGGAAGGCAACAGATGGATGTTTTGCTCTCATATCCATCTTTCACTTTCTCTCACTTCCTCTACTTTTCTCTCTCTCTCAAATCAATAAAGGCATGTCCTTGGGTGAAGATTAAAAAGAAGTTACTTATACAAAGAAATTTTGATTTCTCTGTGACAAAATATATTTTTATGTCATAACTATTAAGAATATGCCTCCAGAAAAAATGTGAAGACATTGTGGATGTCAGAAAACATTCTTTATTATGCTGATGGGCTATTTGTTTTCATAATCTAATACAGAACATTATTAATTCTTTGCATCTCTAGATGTTCCCAGTATATTTCATTATAGGAGAGCTTGAGTTACTAAGAGTTATGTTCAGGGCTAATGACTATTATAATGACTCGGGAGCCATGGTTTTCTTTAGGCCATGGAACAGTTTATTAATTTGGCTAAACTTGATATTAAACAGAATAGAATAAAAATGATTAATATCATCTGCTTGCTTTATAAATGTTAAAGACTACTGAGTTAAGGTGAATAACTTCAAATCAAGCCTTGAACAGCAAATTAAACTTGTGGTCATTCATAACATGGAACACATCCAAGCCAGTTGCAGCAGCTTGCTTGACATGTTGTGTGACTTATTTTTGCTCAATTATAGGGTCATTTTAACTCCATTTATAATTTCAACTAATATATAGAGCTGTCAAAGGTTAGAATTATTTTCTCCACCTAATAGATTTTAAAGAAATAATAAATATAACTAGAATCCAGCTTCTTATATGTTCTATTCTATAAAATATTTACAGGTCAGTTATTTAATGAGAAGGGCAATATGACACCTAATAAAGACAAAGAGAACACATGCAAAGAGAATTCAGCAGGAGTGACTTACCACATCCCGTACAAGAGGCAAAGTTTTTTTCCTTCGGAGATCTGGCATACTGTCAATACCATAAAGTCCCCACCCAGCCCTGATGGAGGGAAAAAGAAATGATTTCAATGAGCAATCGATTTCCTAGAAGAAAGATCCCAGTGTTCATAAGTTAAAAAGCTGTGAAAAAGGTTAAATAGATCCCTGGTCAGTTAGTAGGAGCATTGCTATATACACTGAAAAGTGGTGTATTCTATTTACAGGATACATACCAGTTTGTGGGGTTGATCCCCAGTTGGGGCACATACAGGAGGAATGGATTGATGTTTCTCTCTCTCCCTTCTTCTCTCTAAAATCAACAAACTATGAGCTTTCCAATGAGAGGAGAGACTCTAACTACCACACATAGTGATTATTTCTCTTTTTGGATATTTCATACATTGAAACTTTAAAATATTTGCAGCTGTTTTGATGCACTGTTTTATTTTCAATATCACAGGTAGGATAATAAAAATTGTTAGGTCTATGGATCTTTGTACCAAACAATTTGGTGCAAGTTTAGTCTGCTTGCAATGGTAACAATACACACACACACACACACACACACAAACACACAGTAAAATATATGTTATATTTTATACTATGGAATATATTTGTGTTTAATTTTCACAGATTAAACTGAAAAGTGGCACCTCAAGGATATACATTGAAAAAATTTGTGATTATGCTAATATAATAATTTATACTTATCATAATTTATCCACAGATAAAATGCAGATTAAAATAATTTGTTATAAAATAATGTTCACTGCACTATTTTGGTAATAGAAACAATAGCTATACAACCTAAATATTCAGCAATGGTATATTGATTATATGAGTTATTGTATATTATACAATGGGAAGAACCCAATAATTAGGGTGAATGAAATAAATCTTTGTGTTTATATGAAAAAATACTCAAAATATATTATGTTTAAAAACACGCTTTACAATTTTGCATGTTAGTAAACTTAGTATGATCTCAAGTGTGTGTTTATATGGACGTGGAAAATATGTAGAGCAATATTCATCTAATTAGTAACTACAGTTATCTATGTAGAGTGAAATTAGTGAGAGAAAATGAGAAGACTCTTACTATGTTATAAATTTGGTTATGGTCATGTTTTTATAATAAACATACAATTTTTGCAATTTAAAATATATTAATAGTTATGCTTTTTAAAATGAGTTTAATACATTGAATTTAATTTTTATTCCATTAAAACTAGTTTTTTTATGCAACCAAAATGATGCTAAAATACTGATAATAGTTTCTCTTTATGCTCACCTAACAGGCAAAATTTTGCTGACCTCCACTTTAGTGTCAGCCTTTTTAAAAATTGATTTTAGAGAGAGGAAGAGAGGAGAAAGAAATAGAAACATCAGTGATAAGAAAGACTCATGATCAGCTACTTCCTGCATACCCCCATTGGGGATTGAGCCCACAATCCGGGCATGTGTCTGACCAGGAATCTAATGGTGAATTCCTGGTTCATGGGTTGACATTCAACTAGTGAGCAACATTGTCCAGCTAGAGTCAGCCTTTTCACTAAGAAAAACACAATCCATAACTCTGGTTGTTAGCTGGGCAGCTCTGCCATTGGAACAGGCTACCACAACATTTTATAGTCCAGTTTTCCACTGACACAGAGATGGCCTCTTTGCTCTTGTGCTTGGCTTAATGAAGGGAGACCTTTGTCTCATTGGATTTGTCTTATTAGCCATGGTCTTAACTCCAGTATTTGAGTTGTATCAATTATTAGCTTGTTGATCTTGGACAATTTATTAAATGCATCATTCAACCCTTGCAAAATATTAATAAAAGAAAAATATCAATAAAGATAAAAGGGTAACAAAGTAGTAATAATGCCAATAACATATATGCTTGAAAACAAAGATCAAATGTGATGATAAATGTACAATATTAAAACCATTTCCCATGAGTAAGAGGGATGTCAATGATGAGCAAATTATGCTTAAGGTCAGCACTCCAACTAATAGTTCCCTTAGTTTATTTCATGGAGTACAGGAAAAGAATATTGTGGGACAGAGATTATGAAAAAGGAAAGAAAAAAGAGAATGCAAGGAGAAAATGTAGGCTGGAAAACAGTGTGCATGGTTGGAGGAGATGACATTTCAGATACTGCCCAACACCTATCCTATGAGAAAGGGCTTAATATAGTTTCCATCATTGCCAGAACAATGCCAATTAACATTCTCTAGCCCAAGTGCTATAATGGTCACATGACAGTCAAAGGTTAAGAATTGGCGTAACAAATGAGAATCACTGGCAGCATGCTCTTATGGACTGCAAGAAACTGTAGAGTGGAGCAAGAGAAATAGTGAATTTTTATTTTGTCTTCTCAACACCCATCCTCAGAAAATTAGCCAATCTCTCTATGAGCGTAACTTCTTGCTTCCCTCTTAACCACTTTCCACATTCTTCCCCTCTCCTCGCCAGTTCAAGTTTGACCCTTCCACATTCAAAATATTAAATAAAAGAGAAAAGGGTTATTGAAGGGGGTTTTGTTCTCAGAAAGAAAGGATTTTCCAGTATTATTTGCTCTAATTTAAAGCTCTGATTCCAAACAGTTTCTACTTTTTCCCCTCTGTGAACATAAATAATAATGGCACAAAGTAGGCATTAATAAATGTATTTCCACATTACTTGGAAATCATACTAACTGTCCTCAAGTGTTTTAAAATGTTTTGACTCCTAAATAATGTGAATTTAAGAACTGAATTGTGATAATGGTTGAGAAAGTGATTTATACACTGCAGAGTGTTATAAGAGTTGTGCATTTTCTTTCCATCAATAATGATTTATTTTTTTATGTTTCCTTCTCATGGAACTTCATTCAAATTCACAAATACACCAAGAATCTTGAGCAACTCCGTAGACTCACAAACTCAGGAATCAGTTGAACCTATACTTTGTAATTTGTAAAATTTCAATGCAGTAAAAAAAGTTCTCTTAACTTTCTGGTAATCGCAAAAGTGCTCTCTATCATGTTTTGTTTTTCTATAATTTTACATTTTCATCATTCCTATGAGAACTTAATACAAACATATACTTTCATGGGCTTATCCATCAAGTAACAGGTTTTTATTTTAACCTTGAATATTAAAAAAAAATAGCCTGCCCTTCTTATGGGTAGAGAACAGCTTGGTAAATGCTGCAAAGTTCCACAAAATGTAAAATATATGAGTAATATTTATTAAGAGACTTCCTAACCAGGAGAGATCTGAGATAAATTAAATAACAAAACATGGTGAAGACTGAAAATGTCAGTAGAAAAATAAATCACCGACTTTCTAGGTAAGAGTTAAAATTCAGGGATATGTATCCAGGAACTTAAATCCAGAAGAAATTAACTAGACAAAATGGTGAGGAGGTGAAGAATCTTCCACACAGGCAACAGCAGACAAGTAAATCTGATGGTAAGATCTGATTCTCTGAAAGCTGTTTGATTTCATCCCTTAGGGGTATAGCTGATTGCATTAGGCTGTTCCTAACTATAGCCAGCAAACTAGCTAAGCCTAGATAATATTTATGCAATGCTTACCAGGAACCACATATAATGTTAGCAATTATACAACCTTTACATTCATTACTTCATTTAATTCTTTAAAATCCAGTGAGATATAAATACAATTATTTCTCTAAAATTTTAAATGAGGAAATGGAAGCACAGAATAGTTTAGAATCATCCCCAAGGTAATTATCTAAGTGAGAGACCAGTGGCAGGATTTGAACCTAAGCTCTATAGCTTATCATACCCTACTATTGACAGGATTGGATTAGTCCATATTTATAACAATAAAATGAATTGAAGTTTACAATTAATCCCATTTTACTTTTAATGAAAATAGAGTTAAGCAATTTACTCCAGCTTAAAACTGTATGGCAAAGTTTAATTTTTATTGAAGCCCTAGGTGGTTGCTCAGTGTTAAGAGAGTTGGCCCAAGGACCAACGGGTCAAGAGTTATATTCCAGTCAAAGGCATATACCTCTGTTGCAGGCTTAATTGCCAGACCTGGTCAATGTATGTGGGAGGCAACCAATCAACGTGTCTCTCACACATCCATCTTTATCTTCCCCTTCCTCCTTTCCCCCCTTCCACTCTCTAAAAATCAATAGAAAAAATATCCTCCAGTGAGGATTAATAAAAAGAAGTTAATTTCCATTGCAAGACTGTCTTACCTCAAAACTTATATGCTTTTTAAAAAAGTGATCTCATACTGGTTTATCTTATTTATTTTTAAATTTATTTATATTGTTGAATGTATTATAGATGTCCCTTTCTTCCCCCCATATTTTAATAACTAAAATAAAATTGTTAGGAGGAGATAAGAAGACTGTCCCAGTTCATCTATGAGTAATTATTTGAAAAAATTTTAACTTATTTTCAAAATAGTATTATCATTGGAAAATAGTCCCAATCTTTCCCAAATAGTTCTTCCTTAGCCATTAAGATGTACTCCTTAAGAAAAAAGAGTTTCAGACTATAGGGATTGCACATGGGATAAAAGAGATAAGAGATCTACATATCTAGAAAGTCATTGATCACATGGCTAAATTAAATGAGATGTAGTCTAATTCAACATTTGTTCTATTACATAGTCTTAATATGTTTTATGGCTTATTTATCATTTCTTTGCATATTTATATTAAAATATGTTTACTACATTAGTAAAATCTGAGATAAAAGTGCATTGCTATATGTCTTGACTGGGGTTCAGTTACAGAACATACATAACACAAATGATCTAAAGGACATATATTCTGTTCTTTTCAAGATATCTGCTATTTAAATAGAGGAGGGACAAGTTGATTTTACTAAGTATATTAATTATTATTTTCATCTAAAATTGATCTGGTAATATACTGAATGTATATAGATTGGAAGAGAATTCTCAGAAGGCAGCAGGAGAGTATTCCATGAAAGCTATCAAGCAGATTTTACAAAGGTAGATCTTTCTGATTATGGAACAAAGATGTGCTATTTCCACAAGTGGATGGTTGATGGTTACTCATATTCTTAGACCAGCTAATTT